AATTGGTGGCTGACTAAATACTTTTTTGCCCCACTGTATATGTCTCTAAAACAGTAAAAAAGCCTTTGCAAATAATTTTACCATTTAAAGTCAATGTTAAACATCATTTGTTTCCAATTTTACCATTTAATGCCCATGTAAAACTGTGTTTACAACTAATTTTATCATTTAAAATCAAAAGAAACCAGAATTGCTAAAAAAAAACATTTAAAGCCAATGTAAAACATGATTTGCATCTCATTTTACCACTTGAAATCAATGTAAAACATAATTTGCGACTAATTTTATAAAGTAATTTGACCATTTATAAACTTTTTCATGTGATGCATTTCACATTTTTTTCACTAATGTCACTTTTCTTCATTTTCAACACTAGATCTATAGGATAATCATTTAAAACGGTACAAAGTTTTTGTGTGATGTTTTGTAAAGGTTGCATCTTTATTTACAGTAAATGACTGTAATATTTTATTAGTTTAATGCAATTAAATTCACAACATTTTATGTGTGATTGAAGTGTCTAGATACTTTTTGGGGTCACTGTATGTCTCATAAAGATGCCATTTGTTCATCATGTTCTAATACTTCGAGTAAATTGGGTTTCATTCTCATTTAATGCCATCAATATGGCTTTGATTCCAGTCATTTTAAAGGGATTTGATATGTTGAGTTCTGTGTGAACGCAGCATTTTCCAAACAGATATTAAGTCGTTGTTGTTTAATCTCTGGCATCACAATCAAAAGTTATTGAGAACGTCTCAATTTTTCAACCAAATTCAATAAATTAGTGTTTCATAGAAGTTCATGATTTGCCATCATAGATGACATATTAATCTGAGCAGCAGTAGATATCTATGCAGGTTTTTCTTTCCTAAGACATCGTGATGTACAGCTTTCGGTGATCCCTAACACACCTTTGAAAAGAGCAAACGCCTTTGCTGACTGTCCTGTGATGAGTAATCAGTCCTCAAGTTGTAAAGAACAATTTATGCAACCTCATGTCGCTTTAAACCCATTTGAATTTCTTTTTCTGCAGAGCAAAAAAGGACAATATGATTTCTGACTAAAGCAGATGTATTGCATTATTAATAATAATGTGAAATAATTAATAGTAAGTT